AAACAACTTACAAAAGGGTTCCAATTTTCTTTTTAAATATTGCCAGTATTTAAGCATAGACTGCGGAGTATTATCCATGCGATGAGGTCACATAAATGTAATCATCATTTTAGAAAGATGCAGCTTGAGAACCCCTGATAAAAACAATCTATGTAGTAAGGTCCTTTTCAATCTGGGCACACTGCAGTATTTCAAGAAACATGACAAATATCAATATCCAAAATGTTTGACTGAAACCTTAACCATGATGGTATTGATAATATATTTTAATTTTGTTAAAATCCAAGAGATCTGATTTAAATGTTATCTCCTTTTACCTTAAAGAATATGGTTAAATGCAGATGCCATGATTTCAGCATCAGACAGATTCGTTGGGGTGTTCTCTTGCCGTTCATTAACTATCTAGCTTGATGAAATTGGCATACTGCTTTGTGGAACTTTGAACAAAAAGATTTTTGTTCTGTTTTTCCTGCCTGTATCTTGATGGTGTAATGTCATTTTTCTTGCATGACTTTTGCTTTGTTTACCATCAACATATTTCAGAAAGCAAAGCTCTTTTGTTTCTAATTACAACAGAAAAGGAAACTCTATTACTAGTGTTTGAAGTCTATACAGGAAAATATTATTTAGTGCAGCCTAACTTAATGTGGTATGCTGCAGATGTGTTCTCTGGGAATTATGGAATTTAGAATCCAGCACATAGAAAGAGCCCAGGAATGATGACTGATTTATTGGGGGTGTTTGGTGCTTAATTGACAATAATATTGGCTCTGTTCTTCTGGAAATTCATATAAACTGTATGCAAATCCTTCTAAACTCCAGTATTATCAGTCGAGCCCAAGAGTATTTCCCAATGACCAGACTTTCCGTTACCCAAAATGTCTGATTCCACAATTAAAACAAAGCATGGAGCAACTCATTGTTATATTCAGTAGGTATGCAGAAAGACTAAATCAATGTTTTTCATCCTGGGTGACTTTGAGATGTGTGGAATTCAACTGACTGTGGAATTTCTGGTACCTATCCTAAAATTACTGAGGTGGAAAAATACTGGACTAAGGGAAAGGACATGTTTGTGAGTAAATCAGCTGTGTTGACTTGAAGGCCAATAGCCCAGCAGCATTTATCTTTCCTGACCTAGCCAATAGATGAGATCAGTGGTGTCTCACTCATTAGTATTTTCTTTGTTGGCCAATGAAAAATGATTTTTCCTTTCTCCTTTATTTCACCTTCCCCACCCCATCTCTAACTACAATAAAAAGTTACGTTATCAACATTTTTTATTTACAGTAAGCGGCTATCAAGTTTTTTATGCTTGTTTGTGTTTAGGCCCTACCTTGTAGTGATGTTTTTTGCTGCCACACTGGGAAAATGGGAGATAGAGTGACTCAAATGCACCCTCTCCCAAATGGCAGCTCAGACTACAGCAGAGTAAAACAGTAATCATTCGGCTGGGACTATCACTGCTTGAAATGGGAACTTCTTTTTTGAAGGAAGGTTTGACATTACCACTTACGAAAACTATGGACTGATGTAATGGTAAGGGTAGGACACAGCCTCATCTGGTTTGTGGGGAAGCTTGATCTGCAAGTTGATCTGCACTCTCATTTGCAGATGACTCCATGTTTCCTTGAGAGTACTGTGCCTGGCTGGATGTTTTAAACTATCTAGCCTTTTAGTCTTGATAACACCTGTAGGAGATCTGAACTACAGCCACAATTATAATATGAATCATGCAGTGAATATTTGTGTTGGGTCGCTACACATGCAAGAAATTATTGAGCAACATTTTAGGTTAACCAGCACATTGAGCTATTTTGGCAGTGTATAATATACATTTCAGTGTTTAAAATCTTACTCTAAAGTGAAATATTTTCCTAATGTAAACAAGTATATGAAAAAATGTGAGCTGAGCTGACTTTTTTTGCCAAGGGAAGCACATTTTTCATCACTATGGATATGAACATGTTGGCACACATTTTCCTGTGGACTTCAGCATTTTAATCTGAGGATTTCCTCTGTCTTCCCCTCCCTTGTACTTCCTTCCTTGAATTTTAGAATGTATCTATAAATTGAAGCAGTTTGCTTTTTGGTTAAATAGTTGAAGCTCTGATCACTAGGAATTCTTGCCTCATGGACCAGATCATGTTTATCTCAGAATGAAACTTTATCTACTTGTCTGTCTATTGATTATCCATGCTCCCCAGATAATTTCCTTCTGCTGTGTCTCAGTTGAGCATTGGCCTTTCCTATCCTCCCAAGAATTTTGCCACAATAACAATTTTGTCTTTTTAAAAAAGATTATATGAAATAAGGAAGATTAAAGAAAAACTGAAGAGGATTTAGTGTAAGGTTTCTAGATGGCTGAAAAGGCCATCTGGATCCCTGCAAATTTCCATCAACAAAATGTTGATTGCTTTCTTTTTAGAAAGCTGAACTGGAAACATCACCCAGTTAGGGAATGTTTCACTTACCCACCTATAAACAATGGCTCTGTAAAGTTTTGGTCAGACAGCAGTTCTAATCCTCTGGTTTAGTATCTTTTCAGGGAATAAATCTAGAAACCCTGCCTTAAGTTTGTTTAACTGAATGAGCCATCTAGTCCAGCATTTGTGACTGTGATGTTACCCAGATGCATTGGTTTGCAATCCCCATCAATTCCAGGCATCATGGATTTTCCCCATCATGGTTAACTGATGCAGACAGTCCATAGACTTTTCTAGATTCTTCAAATGAAGTTTTTCTCAACCTGCCTGGTGATGTCTGTTGCAGATTTCAAGGGTTAAAATAATTCTGAGTCGCAGACTTGTTGACTGATTATATAAATAAATAATGCCAAAATGACAGTTTTGGCCTACACTGCTGAGAAGAATTATGGTCTTACTAGTGTTTCCCAATCCATCCCTCATTCCCACATCCACTCCATATATATTTTTAAAAATATATGCAGAATTTTGATATTCAAAGAAAATGCAAGAGTATTTTTTAAACTATTTTAAACATTAATTTCCTTGACAAATGCTTTCCAAGTGATCTCGTAACTGTTGGCTGGCTGGAAGGGCAAATGTGAATAAGAACACTTCTTTGCCAGATGATCTTCATTTCTGGAACCTCGTGGCATTTTTTAAAAAAATACTAAAATGATTTCAAATTTGTCCTTCCTAATTTTTCCCCCAGTATGTATTACTAAAATGTCCAAGTTACAATAATTTGTAGGACTAAGTAATCTTCAGTTAGCTGGATATGAATCTTTCATTTCTAACTGCTGTTTTCTAGAACAGCTCCTTATGCATAATAGAATGAATCTTTTTGTATACATATTTGTATATTTTAAAACCTAGCTCTTGCTAGAGTGGCACAAAGGAAATGTTGATGTTGGGAGACAGTGGGGAAACTGGGGAATGTTGATGTTGGGAGACAGTGGGGAATCATTTCATTGCCTGGCAGTGGCAGCTGCAGCAAGAAATGAGTACATTATTCAAGAACTTTGACTTAGCTGGTAATTTAGGAATATCGCCATATTTAAATGTAGGGTGTCTCCAAACTGGAAGGCTTGGTATGGTTAATGTATGAGAGAATGAGCCAGATTCAAAATATTATTTTTTCCCTCAAGGAAAACTTTTACTAGATATTAAGGGATTGGATTTGCCTGATCTCCTACCCTGCAAAGGATGGCTTTATCCCCAATTGGACCATTCTATGTTTGCATTGGAGTTTTTAAATCTAGTAAAGAAAACCAGTGGTGATGTCTAGCCAGCCATTATAATGGTGGCTAGGATACCAGCTGGAGATAAGAAGGGGTTGGAAGCTGCTCTCGGCACTGGTATAGCCAAGTTGTTCCTTCTCTTCGATGAATCTGTGTTAGCTTAATGTGTGAATATCTCCATTATATTAGATGCATCTGAACATCTGGAAAATTTGGTAACAGGTAGGCTTGGTGTACATGATTTGAATGATTTCAGCATGATTTCCAATATTTGTATTAAAACCTCAAGAGTAAAGAAGTACATGTATACCAGGTTGTTTCAAATAGGATTAGATTAGCTAATCACAAAAGTATTGTGACATAAATATGTTATATAAAGATTGTGATAATTATAGCAAATACTGATGCCATGAAATAAATCTTAATAATTTAAGCACAGGTATTCATAAACCAGAGGTGGAGCTGGTGGTGACTTATATTTCCATGCTCTGTACTTATCCATTCAAGAGGCACTTATAGGATTGCTGCAGAAATCATTTTTCTTAGCCAGATGTTATGGGGTGGTGGAAATCTAGGAGTCTTCAACTTCGCTGTATAAGGAAAAGAAGTAAAACTATTTATAGAAATCACAATTCCATATTGTTTTAAAATGTTTCTCTAATATTTCAGATTAATTGGTGGAGTGTGTGGTACAGTCCACATTCAGCAAACTTTCTATGCATCCATTTTTCTGAAAGCTGAACAGATCAAGCTTTGAAAATCTTTCCATCATAAAAATAGATTAAATGTTCTCCATAATCATTCCGTCTCTTTTTTTTTGTTCTATCCAAGTTTCAGACTTCCTATTCTGATAGCTTCCATTTGACCTTATTGACAAAAATAAACATATCAACTAAATAATGTAATTTGTAAGTTTATATAACTTACATAAGTTTCCTTTATATAAATTACATTTTTTTGATGTTTAAGCATTATTAATTCAATTTGCAGCTTTCAGTAGGTCTAATTGCTAGTATTAAAGGACAGACTTTTTTTAACCAAACATTTGCTAGATAAGATGAGGCTGGAACCCCTGAAGTTCTGAGCCTAACTTTTAGAGAAGATCAGATAATGAATGATGAACAAATTAATAGGATGCTTTGCGGTGCGGGAGTCTGTGGGCACTGCATGATGCTAAATTGGCTGGGAGAAAACTCTTGACTTTTGCATGTAGCTCAGTAGTTTCCTTTGCACTTGATGAAAAATATATAATGACATCTATCTCCATTTAATTTTATGTATTTTCCCCCAACAGCTGGCTTACCCCTTGCTGTTCTAAACTTGGCAAAAGTAAAACCGTATCAGAGGGGCTTTTTCTGTAATGATGACAGCATCAGCTACCCGTTCCATGACAGTACCATCACATCTACTGTCCTCTACACAGTGGGGTTCACTGTGCCCATTTGCTCTGTAAGTAGCAAAAAATACAGGCAGCTGTTTGGGGGAAGTGTTAAGTATGTGTGGAGAACTCACCATTTCATCAAAGCTTTGAACTTTGGGCTTGTTGACTAATTACCATAATAGCTGAGAATCGCTAAAATCTGTAAAATGTACCGAAGCTCTTGCTTATTACCCAAAATAAGCTTGACTCTTTCCAATTCTTTTGAAATGACAAGGTGATAAATTTGGATTTCTGTTGGTTGGAAAATAAATAGCTAAATAATAATTTAAACCTAAATGAGCAGAAGGCGGTAAAGGAGATGCAAACAAAAGAAATAAGAAAAGAAATAATGACAATGAAAACTAGTTGGTAGAGGAGGTTTGTCACAATGGGAAAAAGTCTGAAATCAAGTGGCAAATCTAGCATCATTTGTCAGGGAATAAGTCATATAGAACTCAGGGAACAAGATCAGTTGTGTACTAATCAGCAGATTGCTACAGAGCTGCTGTTTCCTTTTTCAGTGACATAGTAGTGTACACAGATTAAAGTGTTTTTAATCTTTCAGAGCGCTCTGTCTTTTGGTAACATTTGACCACCCAAAAACAGAGTTTGGTATTTGGTACCCATGATTTGGTATTTACTCGTGATAAAGCAGTGAGTGATGGAGAATTTGTTTTAATTAGAGTGATATTATATTTACATGAACTCTTTTTCCAGGTGTCTATTTTTAATACATAACTTGGCTCAACCATTTTTTTATGCAAAAATAGATACGAGAAGGAATACTTAGATGATTTCTATTAATATTATCTTTATTAGGTTTGACAAAGTTTTGTTCAGAACTACAGTGAGATTGTTGCAAGATTATATTCAAAGTTATATATCTGAACAAAGTTAGAGACTTTTAAAATCCAATTAATTTCAGTAGATTTAAGCACATCTCACTCATTCAGAAATTATTTAAACTTCTCATTTTAAAAAACTAAAACAACAGCTTTTGAGCAGTGGTGGTATGCTGCGGGTTCAGCCCGGTTCTGCAGAGCCGGTAGCAGCGATGAGCAGTGGAGACCGAACCGGTTCTCTCCACCACTTTGCTGTTGAGCCCACTCGCCTGCCTGCCTGCCCGAGTTCCCATACTCACCTTTATCCTTTGAATTTGAAGCGCAGCTGCTTTGCGCAGCATAGAAGAATGCTGCGCGGCAGCTGCTGAAGCGACCGGGATTGTGCAGGCTTGCAGGAGGTAAGTTAGAATGCATCTGTGCCTGCGCAAAAGCCTCAGCACCTGCGCAAAGTGCACATTTGGCACACGCACGCATATAAAGTGTGTGCACGTATGCAAAACATGTCCACCAAGCCACACCCACTGAACCGGTGGTAAACATATTTGAATCCCACCATTGCTTTTGAGGTAAAATTGTGTGGCATTATGTATAATAAATAGTAAATATCCCTAGACTGCTTTAAGCAAGTAGCAAGTAATGTGGTTAATGTTTTTTTTAAAATATGGATTTCAAACCAACAACTGCATGCTTCAGTATTTTCATATTTTTAAAAATTACTCTTTTTAATACTATGTTTTTTATGCCTTTGCAAAGCAGTTTTAAAATTTGGTGATTTTATGTACTCTTTTAGCTCCATAGTACTCATACTTTATTGTTTTCTATTTGAATTCTATAAATCCTGTTACAAAACGATACTATTCTGATTAGTGAAGTAAGAAAAATATAATTATTTATTTATTTTGATTTTTTGGCCACTCAACTCCAGTCAACTTTATTCTGCTCTTTGCACATTTAAAAAATACAATAATTTAAAGAGTTTAACTTTGCACATTTAAAAAATACAATAGTTTAAAGAGTTTAACAAAGAATTCAGTTATTATTTTGAATACAGTCCTTGACTTATGGCCACAATTAAACCCAAAGTTTCTTCTGCTACAGTTGTTAAGTGAATTTTACCCAACTTTTGACCTTTATTACCACAGTTATTAAATGAATGACTGCAATTGTTAAGTTAGTAACATAGTTGTTAAGCGAATCTGGCTTCCCCATTGACTTTGTTGAGAAGTTCACAAAAATGATTACATGACCTTGGTGGGACACTGCAACCATCATAAATACATACCGGTTGCCAAGCATCTGACCATGAGGATGCTGTAATGGTCATAAGTCTGTAAAACAGTCATAAGTCGGTTTTTTTAGTACCATTGCAACTGAACAGTCATTAAACAAATAGTTGTAAGTCAAGGACTACCTCTGTGCAGAAATATTTTTCATAGGAGATCTCATAAGACTTCCCATTGATAAAATCTGAAGCAGCATAGTTCCAAAATAGTTTTACAGTATTATCTCAGCTATTCAGTATAAACCCATTTATATTAGGATATAGTAATGTATTCTGATAGCACACTAAGGTCATCTGCTAAGCACACACGAACATTCTTATTTCTTTTTATACTCTCCAAATTCATGAGATCTGTATTCTGTTCAGTTATTACTTTTTAGTAGTCACTAATACTAGTGATTAGTAAAAAGTAACATAAAACTATAATAAAAAGGATAATGTATTTGAGATTGAGTAATTGAATTGAAACAACAACTTGAAGTTTCTTTCTAAATAAGTTGAAGCTTGTTTCTGAATGATATATGCTATTAGTTTATGCTGGTTTGCTGTTGGTGGTTTGCTGTTATGTCTAAATCCCAAAGCTCATACAATGTTCTAGGTCAGGAGTCGCCAACCTTTTGGACCTCAGGGACCACCAAACTCATAATTTTAAATCCCAGGGACCACTAAACAGTTCTGTTGGCGTGGTCTAATTTGTGGGTGTGGCTTGGTGGTCATGTGACTCGCTGGGCATGGCTTGTATGTAAATATTATAAATATTTATATAAATATTGAATTTTTTATTAAAGAGCAACTTTTACCCAAAATCAGGCAAAGCAGGCAGGCAGATTG